AGAAGATTCTCCAAAAAAATTGTTTATTGGCCATTTCATTCATTTTTTTCATAAAATTTTGATTACAAAACTCTAATTTTTTTTATGGTTTTACAAACCTAACATTTAATTATATCTGATTTTTACATTTAACACTAATTTTTTTATTTACATATTACTTACTCTTTTAAGTAAAATAAAAAAATATCACTCTCTCATCATTCCCGTTAATTTTATATCACACATGAAGAGACAGATGGTTGTGAGGGTTGGTAAGTGGTAACATAGAAATGCATGTGAGCACTGAGTACTAGAGGTAAATCATGCTCAATGGAGGAAAAATATGGTAAATACGAAGTTTTAGATGTTAAGCCTATAAAATATGATATAATTAATTATTATGCATATAAGTCACTCTATTTTTTTTATAAATATTAGGCAAAAAAATAGCAAGATTATGATTTCGAGCATATATCCTTTAAAGAAAAGCAAAATTGTCACATGTGCAATAAAATGATTATTCTTATTATATTAGGAGAAATTTTTTTGCTATATTATTATAGATATAAATTTACTTCTATATTTTTCTTATTTTATATTATGCATGCATTTTTATAAAATCAAACCTATTTAGTAAATAAAATACAAGTTTTTTCTTCTCTAACGTGATACCAAAGGGTCATTCTCCTATCTCTCTTGCCGATCTACACTATCCATTCCTACGATTAGACAAATAATCATGAATCTCTTTTCGTGATCGAGCCTTTTCTTCGCAAGTGTGTTCCTTCTCCCAATGCTCTCATCCACCACTCATGTCCTAACTATGTTTGATCTTCTTTATCATTCATAGAAAATCTCTATGGCGCACATTTTCGATCTAAAATCCATTGATCCTCATGAGCTTATTTAAGAATTTTTTTATCCTCATGACCTCTATCTTAACATAAGAAATTTGTGTTACTCTTAGGAAACCCAAAAATTTGTAAGAACTTCATTAGGTAATGGCTTCTCTCTCCATTTTAGGATGTTAGCTCGCATATATTTGCCTAAATTTAATAATTCTTCTTATTTTTTCACTCCCTTCATACATGATTTAAGGCATCCCTAAGGTCTCTAACGTTCTCTTTTTTATCATGTCGTAAAGTCTCGGAATTTTCACAACACAACAACAATAACAATAAATCTTTATCCCACTATGTGTGGTCTGCTACATGAATTAATCATTTTTCTCCATTGTATCCTATTAAGAGTCAAATACTCATCTAAGTCTAATAATGAAAGGTCATTTCTAATCTTTTCTAACCAAGTCTTTCTAAGTCTACCTCTACCTTTCTTAACATAAGTTAAATCTAATACATCGACTTTCCTAACCATTTCATCAAAAGTTCATCATTTTATGTGACCAAATCATCTAAGACGACTATCTCTAATCTTATCTTCCACTAGAGCTACTCCTACATTTTCATGAATATGCTCATTTTGTATCATGTCTTTAAGAGCAAAGCCCTTCATCCAATTTTCATAATTTTCATCTTATTATGTTGATATCACCTTGATGCTTAATAACCTCAAACTTCACATTGGCTCCATTATCAAGCATGCATCATACACAGGCATGTTATACTTCGCCTATTTTATCTATAATAACATAATATTTAAATATGTGAATACTATGATATCTTGTGGGGCAGGTTTTAGGCGTGATCAATTCATATTTGTTCGAGTCTGGCTTTGGTCGGCTCGATTTTGATTCATTTTGTAATCATTGAACTTTAAATTAATGAGTGATATGAAAAAATAAACAGCAGGCCTTATAGATTCCAACCTAGAAAATAAGAGTTTAATATAATAAACTCCAATAATATTGGAATTATAATATCTTTTAAAAATTTTAAAACTTACAAATCCCTTTTAGCATAATCAACATCAGAAAGCATATGAATAAGAAGATTCTACATTGCCAGTGGTTGCAAGCATAACCTCAAAATTAGGATATTTTTTGCTTCGTCCTCTATTATATATAAATAATATTGCTCTAAACTTTAAAGTAATTTGGGACTGATATGTCATTCAAAATTGCTTTGATGGAGCATGAATCCCGAGGCATATCTAAGTTGGAAATTTTCAAAATTTAATTTGGGACTATCTAAATTTTGATTTCAGTGAACTTATAGTCAATCTAAACGTCTCAAAGAGATAAATCCAAAGACACAAAAATCGGTCCGGAGCCTATATGGGTCCAAATCTAGGGGCTGAAGCACATTTGGAAGGTTCAAAACATAAGTTGGATGATCACATGATATCCAAATATAGCATGTTTATAATCGAGTAGAGTGGCTTAAAGAAACGAAACCAAATAGTCCAAGATTGCTTAATTCTGACATTAATTAGATTTTAGGCACATAGATACTTAATAGGCGCCCAATAGTCGAGGGGATCAATATGGGTCGCCCGAGCACTCTGAATTTGCCCCATATCTTCTTCATATTTATGAGTCATGCTACTATAAAAAATCTATAAATAAACCCCTTCTTGCACATGAAAGGGGGCTTAGACCTTTGCAAGCTTAAACTTTTGGTTGGATGTGGGAAAGAGCTCTGAGGCTTCAAGGATCCTAAGCACCAACATTAGCGAACTTCCATAGACCACCGTCAGAACACCGTTCGCCAAACAACCACCTATCCGCCGACCACCATAGGACCACCGCCTCTCCGTTGACTGACCACCCCCTATCCTCCGACTGGCGCTAGACCTTTGCCCTGCCACTAGACCTCGAACAGGCTGCTGACAGTCGCTGGACTCAAACCACCGTCGCTCGCCAACTATGATTCCTCCAACCTCCATCGCCACAAACTACTATTAATCCAACCTCCATCGCCTGACGACTACGGTACCTCCAACCCCAGTTCCTCGCTCACTACGATCCCTCTGACAAGCATTGCCCGCCGACTGAGATCCCTCCGACCTCAGTCGTCCACCAATTATGGTCCCTCCAATCTTCGTTGGCTGCCGACTATGATCACTCCGACCACTATCACTCATCAACTATAGTTATTCTAATCACCATCGATCGTCTACTACTGTCCCTCCAACGTTTGTCACCCACAAATTACAATCCCTTCGACCACAGTCAATCGACTTTGATCCTCCCGACCAAATGAGTAGGCCAACACTCTCTTGAAAACAACTCTCATGTCACCAAATTCTTCTAAGTACAACTTTGCATTGTGATTTATATTATGTATATTTGTTACACTAAGTCAACGACTTCCCCCGATGAAGGACATTATGTGTAATCAATCACAAATACTAATGAAAAAAAAATCACAAATACTAATGAATTTTACAATTTAGCAAGGCCCCGTTGTTTCTCCTCTTTTTTAGGGGTTTTCACATAAAACTTTGGTGTCTAATAATGCACCACTTTCTCACGTTGGATCTTAGTACAAAACTTAAATGTTAAATCATGTGTCTCTCTGATGCCGCAAATGTTTCAATCAGCAACAGTACTAAATTAATTTAACTTGTCATTTTTCATTGTGGTCACCGACATACATAAAAGTCAAAAGTCATTATAAATTGTTAATAGGTGAATGTATAAGGGAACTTAAAAAACCTTATAAGGACAAACAAGATCACGGGAATTCTAGGTAGTTTGAAATATGAACTATAAGGCATTTACATATTCCAATACATAGCAAAGATATTCAATTTATTAAAGGATGCTATTTAATGATAAATTATTTTTACTTAATTTTTTTTTGATATAAATATATAAAACAAATTTGGTATATAACATATAGAAGTAAAATATATTTAATAATATAACACAAATTAATAATAATTTATATGAAATTTATAAACTTATGTTATAATTAATTTTATATTAAATATGTAATATAAATTAGTAATACTTTATATTAAATTATAGGGTTTTATGTAAATTACATTTAGATTAAAAAATAAATTTAAAAATAAAATATATTTAAATTTAAAATTATCATATTATTATGAATAAATATTCTTTTAATTATGAGATTTGGATTTTTTTTTGTTCCTATGTGAGATTTTAAAATAATTCTTTTAATTAATTATATAAGCTTTATGTTTCATAGTTTTTTACTTCATTTAATTTTTTGTCATAAATTTGGAAAAATAACATTATTTTTAAGTTAATTTAATTAAATTTTAATAATAAATTTATTTACCCCGACTCGACCGATCGAATCGTGAACCTCACATTCTTTCGGTTCGTGATCCAATCTAATTTCCTGAACCTTTAATAATAATAACAAGCTTTATAAATAACTTAATTGAACCTTAATATCATATCGAATCTTAATTGAGCCTCTTAACAAACTTATTCATGAGCATTAAACAATATTATTTTTGACCAAAAATGAATAGAGCAAGCAACTATTCAAAATTATTTACTTAGCACTAATGTGTTTATACCATTATTCAAACATGCTCGTTTAGTCTAGTGTCTTTCTAATAATATTCAAATTTATTCGATTAATTTATCAAGCAATCATTCCCAAACTCTAATAAATTCAAGCAAGTGAAGCCTCGAGTAGTTGATGGAAAGATCAAATTATTTACAATCCTATTTATGTATTTCTCTTTAATCTCTTATATATATCTATTTTTTGTAAGCCCTTCACTTATTCAATATAATTAGAAAATCTATTGCCGAATCAGTGGATGAGAACTCAATAGTCATTGCAAGGAATAAGGATTTCTTGTGGCATATCAAAATACACTCATTAGTCATTATTATGAGTATTAAAATATAAAAAAAATAATTCGAGTTTGATAATATAATAAAGTGTAGATAAATATTAAAGGGCATAAACTATTATTTACTGAAAAGACTCTCTGCACAACTTGAAATTTATTAAAAATAAATTACATATTTCAATAAAAATAATGAGATTGACCAACAAACTCATTTACTACTCCCCAAATCACAAAAAAAAAAAAAAAAAAAAAAAAAAAAAAAATTAAATCTTGTTCGCCCTATGCAGAGGCCAATGCTTCCTCGTCACTATTGGTTCACGTGCGGAGCCCGACAGAGCACAAGTGCGAATTCGCATTGCTCATTGTATGTGGACCCAGACGCCCTCGCTGGGGACCCCTTCGTTCACCACAAACAGCATATAATACCCCGGCGGCGCCAGGGTTGCGGAGGCCGGCGCCGCCGCCACGACTGCATAGCTCGATCTTGGACTCGAAGATCCCGCCACCGCTTTGCTCCCCAATATCAGCAACCTCTGATTCATAGAAAACGAATGCGTCGAAAACGCCGGCATCACCATCGTCACCCTCACATATTTGCTCCTCAACAAACTCACATTAAACCCCAAAACAAACTCTTTTCCATAACTCAGCTCAAACGCCGAACCCTCGGTGACAATAACCGCTCTCAGGCCGGAACTATCCTGGCTGAGATAGTCCGGCGAGAAGGCCTCGAGACTGAGTTCAGTCGGGTACTGAACGCCGGAGAAATTATAGTAAATGTGCGGGTTACTCCCCCCGACTAGGACCCGCCCATCGCGCAGAAGCACAGCAGTGGAGTGGTACAGTCTAGGTACGCTTGAAGGGCTTTGCACCACAAACCTCGACCCGGATGGCCCATCGGGCCGGTACACGACCGGGCTGAGCACCGGGTTACGACCCAGCTCCCACCCAGCCGTCCCGGCCTCAGCACCATTTATTATAAGCACATCGGCTCCGGTTGGAAGCAGAACCATATCCCCCATCACCCTCGCCACGGGCATCGTTTCCATTTGCCACGTCGGCGAGAAGTCAGTGATTTTGATTCGCCCGCACGTGGTCAACGCCTTTACAAAAGTCGCATTTTTCGAGGCCAGGATGAAAGACCCTTTCGGCGCGCCACCGCAGACGAGGACTTCAGCCTCCGCCGCCGTCGCGTTTAGTGGAAGTAACACCGAGGACCCGCTGCTAGGGTAGTTTCTAGGATCAGAACCCGGTATTGTAGGGTAAATCCTTACTATCGTGTTCGTTTTATAGTCAAAGAGAATCGCGCGGTTGTTGGCGAAGATAAATAGGTTGCCGTCGACGTTGAGGTGTACAAAAGGGTAAAGGTTGTTCTCCTCTGGATCTTTGGTTTGTGAGAGAAACGCGAGAGTAGAAACACCGGGGTTGGAATCCTTGGGGTAAAATTCGTAGTTGAACTGCTTGCGGCCGCCGACGATTACAGCCCGGCCATCTGGGAGAATGGTATTGGTGGCATACCAGCGGCGAACGGAGAGAGCGACGGGATTTTCGGACCAATCGCAGTCTGTATTATGGTTCGGGCAAGTGGGGAAAATGCGGACGGCGCGATCGCCGTCGTTGAAACCGCCTGTTTGGAAGAGGCGGCCGTCCGGGGAGACGGTGGCGGAGGAGCACCATGTGTCGGTAAGGATGTTGAGAGGGCGGAAGGAGTTGGTGGTGATATCGTACTCGAGGGAGTGGGCGGTGCAATCGTGTTGTAGAGCTTGGTCGTTGGGGTCTTCGCGGCAGTTGCCGGCGAGTAAGGAGAGGTTGGAGGGGCCGAAGTCGGTGCGGTCGAAGATGATGACGCGATCATTGTGGAGGAGTTGCATGTGCATTGCGGATATGCCGATGTTGGGTTGAAGAAGAGACCAGCTGCCGCCGCTGGCGGCCCCAGAGAGTTGGAGGCAGGAGATGAGGAGGAAGAGGGCGGTGGAAATGGATGTGCCACTCATTTTGCCGATACCTTCGGCCGCAATGTTCGAAGACCGAAGTGTTGGAACTAAAAATTTTAGTGAAATTCTTTATGGAGTTGTTTTAATATATACAATAAATTAATGCATTTTTATTATTAGTTTTTTTAAATATACTGTAGAAATTATGAAGTAAGATCATTTTCTCTTATATTATGATCTTTTTTAAATTTAAAACTGCTTTGATGCATAATTTAATACTTAAAAATATGTTTTATAATTGATAATAAGAGAAAGATAGAGACGAGAGAGAAAAGTTTGTGGCAGCTGTTGACGGACAGCGACGGGGAGGCTGTGGCAGCCGACAGTGGCTAGCGGTGGCCTGCGGTAGCTGGCGGGGGTGTCAGTTAAGAAAGTTTGTAGTATAAACGATTTTCACTTGAAATCGGAGAACTTTGATTTACACTCAAAATGAGCTACTTATATTTACATTACATTTATTATAATTTACTTTGCATGGTTTTGTATTCCAATTAAACACTAAAATTTATAATACTTGTGAATTTTTTTTTTTTTTTTTTTTTTTTTAACGGCAAATTTTATATAAAATGTATATACATCAAACCCTTATTTTAATTGCTTTGCTCATTTTTTTTTTTTTTTTTTTTTGCCTTAGGAAAACATAATAAGGTATCATTTTAAATCAAAATTATATTTTAGTTAAATAGGAATATTCAATAAATTGATATTAATTATAAATATAAGAAAAAATAATATTTGAAGAATTCTATATCTTCGAAAGACAGAATTTATTTTTCTAGATAAATCTAATATTAAAAATTTCATAATTGCAATTATTTATATTAAAATATAAGCTCCAAAAAAGCTTAGGTTTTTGTCGGTGACCTCTCTTGAACAGAATCCCATGAATAAATCTTGTTGTACTTCCAACATAAATTTCATAATCTACCGATATTTTATTTACTTTGAGATGTCGTCCTTCTAAATTTTAACTTCTTATGAACGATGCGAAACGCACATTTACTCGTTCATTTCATTCAGAGTCAGCAACTCAACATGTGTACGCTATTATGGCAACTTCGTGAATAGTCGGCCTGAATTTCAGCCACATTTTTTTACGTAATACTATACCTTTCAACTAGGGGTTCAAATAGAGTCGAGTTGAGCTCGTATCAAGATGTGTTCGATCTAAGCTCGACTGTCAAATGTCAAGCTTAAGCACGAACTCGAGTCCAGCTTGAGCTCAACTCATCAAGGGTACGTAAAGGAGCTCGTCGAGCCGCACTTTGAGCCTATTAATGAGCCCAGCCTTAGCGCCTATGTCAGCACATGCATCATCCGCATCTATCGGTCGGCACAAGCCTCGTGTCCGAAGTCCAAACGAACAGTGGTTTTCATTTTCCCGCGGTTCCATTTTCCCCACATGCGTGTCCTCTTGTCGGCATTGTTTTCATCTTCTCTTCGGCGTCGTTTTCATTTCCCCGCTGCTGTTACACGAGCTGCTCGACGAACTGGTGAGTCGAGCAGCGGGGTGTTCAAACTTAGGCTCATTAAGCCATCGATCTCGAAATTGTGTTCGAGCTCGGCTCGCGAGCTTGATAAGCTCGACTTGTCGAGCCTGAACCGACTCACGAGCCAACTTGACTTGGTTGCACCCTTACTTTCAACACACTATAAGGTTATAACCTATAAATAATGGATTTTCATCTTTTTTTTTCTTATGTAGATAAATGAAAAGCAAAAAAAACAACTTTTTAAGGGCGTTTCCATAAAATCTGAAAAAAAGGGTACTTCTATTAATACTTTCCACTCAAAATTAATAAACGTCAACACTAAATTACGTATGTGCATTAATACTTTGATCTATTGGAAAAGATTGAAATCAACTTATGATATTATAAATTTTGATAGATACTCAAAATGAATAACACATTAAGGGCAACTAGAATCCCATGAATAAATCTTGTTGTACTTCCAACATAAATTTCATAATCTACCGATATTTTATTTACTTTGAGATGTCGTCCTTCTAAATTTTAACTTCTTATGAACGATGCGAAACGCACATTTACTCGTTCATTTCATTCAGAGTCAGCAACTCAACATGTGTACGCTATTATGGCAACTTCGTGAATAGTCGGCCTGAATTTCAGCCACATTTTTTTACGTAATACTATACCTTTCAACTAGGGGTTCAAATAGAGTCGAGTTGAGCTCGTATCAAGATGTGTTCGATCTAAGCTCGACTGTCAAATGTCAAGCTTAAGCACGAACTCGAGTCCAGCTTGAGCTCAACTCATCAAGGGTACGTAAAGGAGCTCGTCGAGCCGCACTTTGAGCCTATTAATGAGCCCAGCCTTAGTGCCTATGTCAGCACATGCATCGTCCGCATCTATCGGTCGGCACAAGCCTCGCGTCCGAAGTCCAAACGAACAGTGGTTTTCATTTTCCCGCGGTTCCATTTTCCCCGCATGCGTGTCTTCTTGTCGGCATTGTTTTCATCTTCTCTTCGGCGTCGTTTTCAATTCCCCGTTGCTGTTACGCGAGCTGCTCGACGGGATGTTCAAACTTAGGCTCATTAAGCCATCGATCTCGAAATTGTGTTCGAGCTCGGCTCTCGAGCTTGATAAGCTCAACTTGACTTGGTTGCACCCCTACTTTCAATACACTATAAGGTTATAACCTATAAATAATGGATTTTCATCTTCTTTTTTTCTTATGTAGATAAACGAAAAGCAAAAAAAGCAACTTTTTAAGGGCTTTTTCGTAAAATCTGAAAGAAATGAGTACTTCTATTAATACTTTCCACCCAAAATTAATAAACGTCAACACTAAATTACGTATGTGCATTAATACTTTGATCTATTGGAAAAGATTGAAATCAACTTATGGATATTATGAATTTTGATAGATTTATCTTCAATGACTCAAAATGAATAACACACAAGGGCCTATTTGGATAGCTAATTTCTTGCCATTTTATTTTTGTAGGTTTAATTTGGGAAGACTTTTTATTACTTTTTAAAACAAATTTTTTAGTATAAAATTTTTTGAACTAAAAAATTTTGCACTACCAGTTTGCTTCACAAAATTATTTTCTTTGATACTATTCAAATTTTCATTTTAAGAAGCAATAAAAAAGTCACCCCAAACGAAGCCTTAAAAAGTAATTATAATTTTTAGATGCTATTTACTTACTAATTATTTGTGGTGTGAATTTTTTTTTCAACAATTAGAATTATTAATATGTGTTAGTTTTAAGAAAATAAATATTAATTTTTTAATAAAATATATTTATAATATCACAGTAATTTTTAAAAAAATTAATTTCCCTAAGACATTGTAATAACTATTTTTACAAAACAACCATCGCCAAGAGACCCTAACACTAAATAATCAAGTAGATTGATCAATATAAAAAGAAAACTAATCAATGATATATGCATATACTTCTAATAAATATTATAATTTAATGTATTACTTTATTTTAATTGACAAAAAAAGAAAAAAAAAACTCGTTTTTGAGGGCATTTAAGTTCTTTTTTTTTGACCCAACTCACGGCTTTGGGCCTTCTCTAGGTGTTTGGTAACTGTCGAGAGACCAAATCACGTGCATGCATGAGAGACCAGTGATGAAATATTTGCAGATTGGAAGTCGTTTTATTTTTCCACAGTCTGAGCCTGTCCTGCTCTGAGCCGTTCGATCTTGATGAGGCTGAAGTATTTTATTGTTTAATCCGGCCCTTGATTAGTGATAGAGTCTCAAATTTCGTGAATTCATTTGGCCTTGATAGTGATAGTCATTAAATTTTTCTTAGGGGACATGATGTTACGTATTTAAAGTTTATTTATTTACCTATTCAATATCAAATACTTATTATTTACGCACATAAAATCATTTTTTTAGTATAACACTGTATCGCAACCCCAACAATAACATGTCGCATTTTCTTCGGCTCTTCTTTATTATCAAGAATTTTCAGTTTATTGCACGCACTTTTATTTGAGTATACTTTCTTATAATTTTATTTTTTAGATATTAATCAAAGTTTTTATTTGATCATTAATTTTTTAATTTTTGCATTATTATTTTTAATCACTTTTATAAAGAATTGTAGCTATTCCGAGAAAATCTTAAATCTCAACATGATTTCATTGCAAAATTTTTTAGAGGTTTTTATAGAAAAGTCAGTCTGAGAACGGTACTCATATACAAGTAGTGGCCATTCGAGAACGGTACTGATATACGAAGTGTTAGTCTAAGAACCGTATTCATATACGAACTATCGATCAGAGGAGATAATACGAGTGTTCCGCACTACTCGAGTAGCGGCTGTCGATCTGGAGGAGGCCAATGCCCTAACGTCCTGAGAAGGTTGAGTGGCAGTCGCCACATCATCGAAGGCTAGGACTTTCCAATAGTTCCCTGTTTGCTTTTCCTTCTTGCCGCCATTTCCACCATTGTGAGTAGGTGACCTAGGGCCACCCCCTCTCGCCACCGCCGCATCATCAGAGAAGATATTCCCGCGCGAAATACAGCTTTTGGGGGTTGGTTCTGACGGGTGAGAAACGGAGTGATATATTTGAGGAGGGATAGGGCTTTTAGGTGGTAGAAGAAAAAATATTAAAGTTTAGGTGTTAGATAAATAAATAGAGAGGTTTTAAGTGTTAGCTAGGTATGTAAAAATCTCATTTTTTTTGTTGTTGATATAATTGCACAAAGGGATTTTTAAAAAAACAAGCGCACGGGAAGCACAAATTATGAGGAGCACGTTTGTGAGTAATTTTAGAATGGAGCTAGCAACGTGGCAAAATTATTTGGCGTAGGCTATATTTGTGAAGAATATGCCAAATGTTTTGACATTTACAGTAGAGATCAAAATTTCGGCTAAACAATTTAAGGTATTCTGCCTTGGAGAGATAAGAGACGGAGAGACAGTCGAGAGAGAGATGGATGAGAGAGGGACAAAGATACAGTGGTTTTCCATCGTTCGTTTATAATCCGAAAATTATTATTATTTAGAATCTAATAAAATTTTAAACTATTAATGTTA